TTCAATTGGAAAACTTGCCATTTCTCAATATTTTCATCCAAAAAAATATCGATTTCAATCAAAAATTGATGACATTTTATCAAATTCCATATTTTGACGATTTTATATGTTTACATGAAAACTTGTTATTAGACTTGTTTTTTTTTGCTATTTGCAGGTTTTCCACTGGTGTTGGGAGTTTTCATATAAACAAAAAGAAACTCAGTTGATATCATATTAAATATTGTTTAGTGTTTTCGAACACCAATCTATTTATAAAGCACATTGTTAATGCTAATTAAATTTCTATTGTTTCTTGCTAGGTGATCATGTGACTTCGTTGTTGTTCATTTATCTACTTGACAAACGCATTGTTTCACAGTTGACTTGCACAAGTCACAAAAGTTCAAAAAACTCATTTACTCATCCCTATGAATTTGGTGGTTTTAAGATAAAGTTCGTATTTTGAACTGAATAAAAAGTGCATTTATCGAAAATGAATCTTGTGTGTTCCATTCTTTGGTGTTCATTTTGTCTCTTGTTAATGGTGTCGCCATGTTATGTCGGGCATAATTCTCTTTTTTTATCGTTTCACCAAAAGGAAAATTAGATTTAAAAGACGGTAAAATTGAATTATACAGATTGTAGTTCTTGCATTATTCACGCTTTAGACGATAGTTATCTATTTTAAAATGAAGGATGAATACTTTCTTTTTTGTATTTGACTAATTTTTCAAATTGAAAGACAATATTCAATGAATATTTCATAAAGTTGAGAAAAAAATCCGAAGTTGATTTGATTTTTGGCTTCTTTCTAGTAAGTAGTAAAAATCGAAGAATATTTAATTAAATTTAAATTCAAGTTTTTTTTTTGCTAAATGGACTATAGTCCAAATTGGTCATTTTTGAAGATTGTAAGGCCAAAATGACTTGATCTAGAAAAACGGCTAATGGTCGTATATATCAAACGTGTATATACTGATAATTTTTTCTCAATGTGCTATCAAAGAATGGTGTCATGCATCTAGTATATGAGAATTTCAAATCAAAATTATAAAATATATATGACGGCCATAATATAACAGCAGCAGCCGAACCCCAACTCTCACAAAGACCATTGTTATTTAAAAAAAAATATTGATAAGAAAGAAATATCAAATCAGAAAAAAGAAAATCTTGAGAATCGTCCCTTTAAGCACGACCATTTCTTCTCTTTCTTTCTCTCAATCCGTATTCGACCAATCCAAATAATTTTTAATTATAATTGGTATTGGGTGTGTATCAACCGGTAATTTTGTGTTATTGTGCCCCAATAGCTGGTTCCGTAGCATTTTTCTTGCATTAAAAATGCATGACATCGTTTTGATGAAAGAGACAATGAAATATATTCCTTAAAAAACCACTTAATAATTACTTTGGTCAATTACTTTGTAATTCGACAAGTGAATTAAAAAAAAAGTGGCCACTGTCCTAAATGTAAGTATTGTTGCTTTTGATCGATTGGAAAAGAGTTTCAATTGAATCTGTAAATGATATTTGAAACAACATGAATTTAAAATCAATGTAACATATGCTACTGGCAATTCGTTGAATATTTATCACATACAAAATCATTATCATGCCCAGATATCAAATGTTTCAAACGAAAAAACGAAACGGTATAATGAAGCTAAATGCTAAAGACTATAAATTGTTTTGATCTATAGTTAATTTTTGTTTATTGATTTTTTTGCAAATGTCAATGTAGTGGAACAATATAAATAATAACTGTCATGCCAATTAGGCGCGACAAAAACAGCATAGTCTGTTATTAAGATTATTGACTTTGCAATGGCGATAATTACCTTAAATTTATCGCATTTATTATATTTAAATTTACCATCCCACACAAATTCATGAGCATATACTTTCACTTGGTGCATATTCGATTAAAGCGATTGGACGCTGTTTTGATCGAAACAAAAATCTATTCAACTTATATTTCCGAGCCACATAGATCGTATTTACACATTTTTTTAGCAAACCCTTTTTTGTTTCAGATCTCAAAACCGATATTTTATAGTTATTTTTAAAATCTGAAGGGAAAAAGTGTTCAAATCAAATACACACGCGGTCTTTAATATCACGCTTCAAACGAAAATCGCATCTCAACAAATTTTTAATGGCATTTCAATAATAATGAGGGCAATGCAAAATATTTATATATTTTTTTATTTGTCGCGGATAATTTGCCAATTGGAAATAATTGTATAAATATATTGAATAAATTTGTTTACCTTGCCCTGGTCATCTACAATGTAGATTCTACATGTTGTAAAACAAATGATTACAACGATTAAAATGTAAAACAATTTGTTAAAAAAAAGGTAAATAAATATGTGTAAACGGGGGAACGTCAATGTCCGCATAATTTGTTATTGTTTTATGTTTATTTTAAGTGACGGCGAAAAATTAAAGTTATAAAAAGTTCAAAGAGAAAGAGAGCAAATGAAAAGCGTGAACAAATGTGATTAGCACAAGAAAAAGAGACGAAAACAAAAGCGAGATAGGTAGATGCGAAGGAGAACGTGTGTAGAAAAGTCCATGTTCGTGTTTGCATTCATTTATTTTATATGCATGTATCGAGCAATTAAATTATAGCAATTAAAAAAGTAGAAAAACTATAAAAACTTCAATAACTAAATGCAAATAATCACCTTGTACGGTGAGTATCGCAACGGAGAACAGCCATCACTAGCCATAATCATGCGCTAAGAACGAATACCAACCATTTCATTTCTTTCTCTCTCTCTCTCTCTCTCTCTCTTCTTCTTATTTCTCTTTGGGCTGTTTGTTTAACATGTTGTTGTTGATCGGCTTTCCGCGCTCCAAATGTAATTTTTCATAGAAATCAATCATGGACTTGTGTTTACATGGATCCCACTAAAAGTTCAATATCCATCTATAAGACAGGCAAACAATCAATTACTAATAAGCGATTTTACAAAATTTTCTAAGCCAATCAAACTTTTAGGCAATCATTTTATTTTTAACATAAAAAAATATTATTTTGTTTTGTTCTGTTCAACTTCGTTGCATGTATTCATTTTTTTCTAGTTTTGTTTTAATTTGATCATGACTTCCTCACCTTCGATTTATTTACAATAGTTCGAATGTTGAATTATCGCATGAAAAGATAAAACCATAAGTTTTACGAATATGAATAGATATGTAAATAATGAAGAGTTTTTTTCCCCAACCATTGTTGAAATGAATTTCGTATTTTTGTGCATTGAAACATACATTACTAGTGCAGTTCGTTTGGGCCAGGTTCATCAGATGGTTTCACTTTCTGCGCAGTAATTTGTAACGAGTTTGTTTACAGTTTTCTGACGCTTTTCTGATGTCGAATAGTCATATTTTTCATTTTCGCATTTGCAATTAATCGATTTGTTACAACACAGAAAAGCTAATTACGAAACCGTTTTTCTATAATTGAACCAAATTGGACAATTTATCACGCATACAAATAGAAACATAATATTATATATTCTTTATGCTTGTTTATTATATGGTTTGGCCAAGTGTTGGTAACGACCATGTTGCGGATGCACTCGACACCGTGCTGTTTCGTTTTACCGAAAATGAATGACGATAAATTGGTTTTGCAACTTGAAAAAGAAAAAAATAACTCCCTCGAAATAGTCTTTCGATAATTAATACGTAAACATATTGATTAAAATCGATATAACTCGAACGATTCACCGTCACCAGTGTCGTTTTTGTCTTACTTCACTCAATGAATTTTCCATTTTTCATTAGAACTTCGCTTAAACACTTAATTACTCGGCAAACACATCAAATTACACATTCACAAGGTACAACAACAAGAGACACACATATTTTACAGTGCACTGTGCACATCATTCACATAAAAATGAATTATAATTAATTTTTGCTGCCGTATTTATGTATACAGAATCAAATTGACAACACTCAATCTATATAAGCGCTCACCACACACATTTCACTGCAAGCGGTGTAGGCGCACTCATCAATTCATTCACTCAATCATTAATGGTCAACTTTTCAATTCACATTTTTTGTTTGTACTTTTCAATTCGATTAAATAATTCAATGATTTACATAAATATATTCCGTATGCCAGAACATTGTACAAATCAAGCCAAATACTATGCACACCTCCAGTCAACATTTGAGAGGATTTTTTTAAGTTTGTGTAGCGAAAAATTGGTAAAATGTACAAGTACGTGATGCGTTTCCCAATTTTCATTGTGCACGTTTCACTTTTGAAGCAAAGTAACAATAGCCACCGTGCATTTTTTTTATATTTATATAAATAAAATTGTACTTCAAAAAGGTAACTTGAAAAAAATGAATACTTTGTAGCATCTTCATGATCCGTGCACATTTTAAGTGTAAATAAAAAAAGCGGTCGGTACGTGGCATAAAACACATGATATATATATATATTTGAATTTTAGTGCATTTTTCATGTCATTCTCATTCTCAGATGTAGATATTATTTAATTAGATATATAAAAAATAGTAATAGATTCCGATGATACAAAACAAAATTGATTTTTGCCAATTCCGAGTTTTTATTAACGAAATTGGGTTTTTGTTTTTAAAACAATTGTTCGGTTGCTATTTTGTGAATGTTTTTGTTTTCAAATAGTTTCACGGCATTTAGTTGCAATTGCAAAATGTCAGGTGTTAGGCCAAATCAATCATCAAAATTCAAGATAATTAACAATAAGTCACCCGATTGATATTGATTTTGACGTGTGAGAATTGCGTAAATGTGACACACTAAACATATTTTCCACTTTAAATACATTTTGACTGACATTCTGGTGACAAACTGACATTGAATTGAGGCATACAGATTCACGATTCGGTTCGTTTCAATTCAAAATGAGGTTCATTGAGATTAATGGATTCTTTATAAGCAAAAATAAGTGAAATCTGTCATTGAGATCACACACATTAATTAATTAACTGTTCTCTTCTAATTTCAGGCAAAGCTACTACAAAATTCACAGGCTTGGCTGAATGCAGCACCATCCAGTTCATTAAATAGTATGTCAGGTATATTTATTATTAAGCCCAAAACATAGATTGTGATTATTTTTCTGCTAAAAATGTTCACAAATTAAAAATAGGATTATTGGTGGTTTAAAATCCTTTATTTTCTTTCGATTGCATTTATATTTGTGAAATTGAGTGAATCATCATCACCCATATGAGATTCAAGCCAAAACCAAAAAAAAAAAATGCATTCGATCCAACTGCTTCAAATAAATAATTTGCCGATTTTTATTTTGATTTGCATTTTAACGGATGAAAATAAGATTTTTACGAAATAGCAACACGAAATTGTGTTGAAAATTTTGTTACAAGCTCAATTAGCCACAAACTATGTGATTAACGGTCTAAACAAATTGTGTTGTAGGTTTTTTGTTTCGGCTTAATCGATGCAAATGATTGTGAGTTGTATGATCGCCCATTGCACATGGGTAAAAAAACAATCTCGCCGACATTTTTATTTAAAAAAGGAAAATAAGCTGGCTGCTCGAGTGGCGGGTGGGTTGGCATTTGTAAAATCCTCTCAGCTACAAAGAGAAATTCAATGAGAGAAGAAAAGGAAAAACAAAACCAGTAAACGGCATGAATGACCGAAAGAGACAATATGAGAGATGCAAGGACTTGAACAACTTTGGATATACAGAGAGAGAAAAAGAGAGAATTTTTTTTAGATGGCTACATCATTAAAACAAAAACTCGAATGAAAAAAAAGAAACACTTTGCATATTTTGTTTCACATAAATATATACATATTTTTTCTGCATTAATTGCACAGCGATGCAGTCGATCGATCGTTGTGTGAAGTGAGCAAGCAAGAGATGCCAAATAAAAATATAAATATTTACGAGCCACAACAACAACAGCAGCAACAACAACATTAACAACAAAAAAATTAACAATTAAATGAGAAAAATGTGATCGAGTGAATGAGTGCAAGCGAGATCGATTATAAAATCGAAAGAAAGACGAAAAACCACTAATAAGATATTATTTTACAAATTATCTTGAGTCAGACTGATGATATTGCGGTCTAAGCACACGCGAATAAACCCAACCACAGGCATTCAAATTCGATTACATTAAAATACATACACGCATAGTGAGTGTGAAAAGGAAGGGAAAAGAAAACCAATGGTGCTAAATGTGCGAACGTGAGCAACGTACGCTTAAGTTTGATTGTTTGTTAGTCCCATACACATTTGTTGATGTTGGAGCCCAATGAGGCTAATCAATGTGTACGTAGACATGAAGTTGCTGCTGTTGCTGATGTTGTTGTTATTATTAATATTATTATTGCAAAAAACACTCAAGAATGCGTATGTATTTGGGAAATCATTGCAAATGTCACGATTATGAATTTTAAAAGTGCATCTCGCAAATGCAAAGAGACACTAACATCTCTCACATAGACAAAGATTATTGCAAAAGTGAACCATGAACGAAGACACACAGTGAGAAACAATGTTGCACACGATGCGCAACTCTCTCATCACATCCGCAATTAAAATATAGAATTAATTTATGAATTTTGTTTGCACAACTTTGGCACATCTTACAGCATTGAATTTTATATATACAATATTTCGAAAACGAGAAGTGGAATGAATACACACGCTTCGTATCTCTCTCTCTTGCTGCCAGTTTTCGTTTTTATTAATTTTTTCTTTTTTTTTTTGTTCTTGCCATACATTATTGTGTGTGTCTTTCTCTCCTTGTTTTCCTTTCATTTTCAAAATTCATTAATTCACCTTCATGAACTTCTGTCGGTTGGTATAGATATTCTCCTATATCTCACGCTAATGTGCCATGCACACAAACAACTGAACGAAAAATATGACTATTAAATATAGAAATCAAGCGGAATGCCAATTTTTTAGCACATTAATACCTTACGCATAACACTCATTAGTTTCTCATTGGACTTCCCAACTGCTGCTGCTGCTGCATTGTATCTCTCATGTGCTTTTGCCACTCTTCCTACTGTTTGCTCGTAACTTGAGGTAATCATTCAATTATGACGATTATTACTCATTCTTCTTAAATTGGATTGCAAAACGAGCAATAAAGCAATGCGTAAATAGAATTGCACATAGAAAGAGAGTCATAATGGCCAATGTTCTTCGTCTGACATGGTCTTATTTAGCATCCGAATGTGTTCTATGGTCTGGCTGCCGTTATCCATCTCGTCTCTATTGGAATGAGCACTCAGATGAAAATAGAAGAAACATTCCAATATTCCGTCACAAGAAAACAAGTGAAATGCAATAAAATAGCAAAAAAACGCACTTAGAAAGAATTGAAAACGATAAAATTAATTAAACACGACTAACAATAAAAATAAATTGGAAAAAGTATCGATTTAGTTGAAAAATAAACACACAAGTGTGTTGTGTGCGCGCACCCCGCTTTAAACGAATCATAACCGGTGCCTACATTACGCTGTACTATATCTAAGTAAATGCAGTTTAGTCAGCAAGTTTCTCTCGATCCGCAACTATGCGTGCACTCATCATACGATCGTTCAAATCGCAATCTAAAATGAGATTTAATGCGTTTAGCCGGTTGATCGGTTTGTTTAGTTACTTTGTTTGATTTCCATGCCAATGGATCGATGATTTTATTTTCTATCTTCATTTGATCGCTTTGGTGCCGGTTCTTGCATCTCAACTCAATGCATTTTTACAATTAAATATTTTGTTGAATAATAATCATTTCTATGCAAAGCGATGCAAAGTGCTACACGAATTCAGGCGAACGCATTCGCTAAGTGATGCGTTGGCAAATTGAAAAATACATTCGATTCACACAACGAAGGATCACACACAACGAAAACGTTCCAATGTTCTTGGGCAAAAGTTTTTACGGACTTTTGTTCTTGACGCGCGATGCTTCCAATACAAAGAATGCATTCCAGTACTGCAAATCGCACATAATATCACTTATTTATTTCAGAAAACGTTTATTTAAGTTTTGATCAATCTTTGTTTTGTTTGTGTTAGATTATTTGTTGTTGTTGGTTACTTGGTGGCTACCATTTTCTCTTCTTTTTGGTATTTAAAACACATTTATCATCGGCAAATTTTCTATATATAATTAAATGCTCATGAATAAATGATGATTGCATCGATTCGCATTTGGACTGCAATTGTAATGTATTGTTTTGTTTTGAAATATCATTTGTTTTGTGTGCACATTTTCGAGATTTGTTTATACTCAAAACGAAGAGTTTGTTTTTGTTTAGCTGGAAAATGTATCAGAAAACGGAGATTAATGCAATAAATCGAAACGAAAAATGAAACATTAACGTAGCTGTAGCGAAAACGATGGCGTTCCACATACACATTTAATTCGACTAGTATTTTTGTATTGGGTTATTATTTTCTTTGAATTATCCATTCGAACCTCACAGTTTACGCATAGAAAAACGTTGATTATACAGTTTCAATGGTAAGGATTTCAGTTGCTGGCCAGCTTACAACAAAAAACCATACATTGAAATGCATCGCCAATTTATCTGTGTCTCATTTATGTACAATAGGAGAGAGTGTGTGTGTTTCTGTGTGCTTGCAAAAGAGTGAGTACGAATGAGAAAGGGAAATCGAAGCAAAATGTTGTCGAAAATATTTATCGGTTTATTTACGTTCGGAGATATTACATTCGGGGATATACTATTGCGCTAAAATTATATTTCTCTTGAATTTTTCGTATGGTAACGCGCATAAATTGCATGTTATTATATTTTGCGCACAACCAATCTGCCACTGTTGCTATTTTTTTCTTTCTCTTCAATTTCAGCGCTGATCTCTTTCTCGTGTTCACTCTTTCTTTCATGAAAAGCCAAAGGTATACACACAGAAAGCAATTCAAAATGTGTTTTTATTCCTTTGTTGCATATTCAATTCGACCTCGTGCATTTCTTTTATAAAATCGGCGAGAAAAAAAAAGAAGACATTGTATCACATGCATTTTGGCTTGATTGTTTTCTCTCCTTTTTCTCTTGAAAATTAATATTGTATCGCTTGATTCATTTTCGGTTGGAAAATTTGTTGTTTGGTATTTGATTACCGTAAATAAAATGCCGATTCGATTGATTCCGGGAACATATGCATTTAAATACATGTTATTTTCGGAAAATCATTTCATTCCCATCAATTGAGTCTTTAATTTTCATTTGATTTGAACGAAAATCAACCATAATCTGAGTGCCGCTAATTTTCGTACACTTACGCACATAATATTGAAACAAATCAATCAATATTTCAACGGAATCGAAATCAATTTGAAACATCGCACATAAAATATTCTTTGAAATCGAATAAAACTAAGTTAAATAAATCAAAATCGAAAAAGGAAAATGAAAATAAAAGTCAGCACCAGCACTGATAACAGATTAAGTTTGAAAAATTACTGTAGTACCAATAAAAAAAGAGCCATACTGCGGCAGCAAGTCAACAAAAACAGCAATACCTACATGTCCATCTGATAAAAGTGCTCGGCAAATATTTCATAGTAATTCATCATCAGCGATGGCATTTATATTGTCCGCGCAATGGTGTACATACATATGAACAATACACACACACACCGCATGCATGCGAATTGCACGCACGATGTATTTCATAATTCATTCGACGGGGGAAAAAATGAAGTAGCAAGTTATTGAATTAAATTTGTACTCTGTAATATATTTAATAATATTTGACGATGAAGCGGATTGATGTAGCCACCATAATCGGTGTGCATAATCACGTAATGGGTCAAACAGGTAATAATTTTTTCAACACATACACAAATGCGATGAATATAAGTTTTTCGATGCCACCGTAGAAATGGTTTGTTAAAGGTATTTGTGTCGACGTCGATATATTTTACACACTTGTGCTCACCATGATGTGAGCAGCAAAGTGACACCAACTGGAATGACATCGAAAGAGAGATAGAGAGAGATAAAGAGTGAAAACGACAACGAGTTGAACAATTTTTCGTCATTGTTGCCGCTCATTTCCACTTTGCTACTGTTTTCATTTTATTCGTCCGTTCGTTCGTTTGGTTTGAGGCCTTAATTCATTCATTCGTTCGCCTGTACGTGTTTTTGTGTGAATGCCGTCATGAAATAAGTGTGATTTCACACTTGCATTGTAATCGAGTATTTCTTATGCATTTTTATCGCCCATGTCCTCACTTGCACTTATACTTTTCACTCAGCAAATGACTAATTAAAGACGAAAATAGTATAGAGACTGCTGAAGTTTGATTGTTGGTATTAATTAAAATTGAAACATATTGTAGTGTTTGTCTTTTTTCTTCTTTTCTCTCTCCATTCTCTTTTTTTCACTTTTCTGTTATTATTATTATTATTATTATCTGTTTCTTGATACGTGTACGCTCTCACGACACAAGTGAATATTCTTACCCGGGATGGAATTAAAATAAAGAAGAAGTCCTTGCCAAGCGCGTTGTTAGCAGCGTAAATCGGTTGCTAACGAAATATGCGTGCATACACTTGTGGCATGTCATTTAGCAGACGAGTCTGACGATCATTTTCTTCTTTCCACTTGCATTACACTCAATAATGTGCATTCCGTTAATACATAGTGGCTGGGCATAAACACCATACCGTTGCTTATTTTCTGTTCGGTGAAAGTGATTCTATCTGTGCCAAGCGAATCAAATTTATAATTGAGAGATTAATGGACATTTATTTATGTTTCAAACTGTCGAAATATGTTTCATTTTCCGACGAAAGGTTGCAAATTACAACTGCTTAGAATGAAGTTTTGATAATATAATGAATAAGCGCATCTGGTATGTTTAGATCTTTCTTTGTCTTCCTCTCTCTCTCTTTCCGTGTGTCGATTGCATAAATGAAATTACATTTATTCTCGGTGACGGTGCGATTTAATTTGATTGTGATGCTCTTGTGTTGCATTCGGCTCAACTATTTATAAATGTTCTGGCATTTTGTCACATAATGAAATACTTTTATTTGATTATTTTATTTCAAAAGAGAACATGAGAGAAAAGTTACTTGAAATGACATGATGCTGTCTGTCAGACTATGTCTATGGAGCACTGACAAGAAGTGATGCATTATTATTATCTCACACTCACTGTTCTGTCCACTGTCTCTTTCACAAAAATAGACAAACTGATTAATTCGTGCCGTTTTGTGGAATAAAAACACATTGTGATGCATTAAATCGATCCATCCGTTTTAATTGTGCCGGTAATATCGAAAAGTTTGCTCAATTTTCTCTCTGTGTGTGTACGTGTAAGTGAGTGTGTGTCAGTTTTGCTGCCTGCTTCATCTCACTTTTAGTTGATGGCATTTTGTCATTACCGCCAACATATTTTATTATTTTAGCTTAATTAATAATCATAAAACCGTTTAAGCAATGAAATAACAAAAGCAGCACGACAGCCTCTTCATTGCAATCAAATACTATATATGTATTTTGTTTGTCATTATTTAATACATTGTTGCTATATATTCGGATCTAAGTTTGACTGTAGTGTGTGTGCGTGCTTCATTTTTATATACAATATAAATTTTTTCGTATGATGAATTGGGTATGTGTGTGTGTGGTTGTGAGTGTACTTCTGGGCCATTACAGTCGGGTCAATTTGTAGAAATTAAATTAAACTAAACCAATTTGGTAATGGTTTAATGGCATTAATGATGTGTCAAGAATGCACTGAACACACAATAGCATTTCACACCGATGATGTTGTTGTTTTTTTTTACTTTGAAAGAAGTATCATCAAAGGAATGAAAATCGTCAATACAAAAAACATGTTTATAAATATGAAACAATTTTGTTTAATTTCCATTTTGGTTGATTAACACCCCTCCCACTCACATTTGGAAATATTTCTTTTTGTTGTTGAGCGTGTTGAAATAATAATCGAATATTTAAAATTATTATTGAACAGCCATTATAATTACTAATCAATCGATTTGCTATTATATTATCCACACTCTTACTTGCACTTATTTGCTCCTTTTCTCTTAGTTTTCTCTCAGACTCAAGTTTGATCGACAGACATACAGCCAGAGAATTATGTGGCATAGGGATGGCCAAGCCAGACCTTTCTGCGCGAATAAATTGGTCCAATGCCATAATTCAAAACTATAAAGTATGAAGTTTAACCAGCCCTAATGTGACATACGTGACGATATTATGTTTTAGTTATTCATTTATTATTCATTGAAATGAATATTTAATGATATTTCATATTTCATCTACGATTTGCTTTTGAATTCAATCATTTTCGATTTTTATGTTTATTTTAAAAAGAGTTATATTTATTATTAGTCTTGCGGTTTACTAAGCGTATTTTCTTCTCAACATTTGTTGTTAATTTATGTACGAAAGCATTTGGGGTTCGTTTATGAATACAATTCCATTATAATTAATTATTTAAAATAAAATGAAAAAGGGGTTTAAAAAAACAAACAAATATATTTACTTACGATATATTTATCACATGCAACATAGTGCATTATCGCCAAATCAAACGACGCAGTCGTTAAAATCCATTTCGAATATTTGTGATAATGAAAGAAACATACATTAAATCTACCACATATATTCAACACAACTGTTATTATTTATTATTATTAATTGAATAACGACTATAAAAATGGACCTGACCACAACTTCGATTCAATCTACCCAGAAAGACAAAATTAAATTAAACTGTTATTCGTTGAAATAGAATAAATGATGAATGAAGGAATTATAAAAATCGGATTGAGATCGGAAACAAGATGAAAAATGGAAAATTGGCTATTTTTTGGATGTCAATTTCACCAAATTCAATCGGCTTTGTCAAAAACTTTTAATTGAAATACAAAATGTACATGAAAAAAAATGCCGACAAACTGCATACAAATTTAAAAACAGTATGCCTACAGCATTAGTAGTTTTGAAGCTTTGAAGTAAATTTAATGAAAGACCTGTCAAATTGAATCAAAATCTATACCCAATTTCAGTGGCATATAATCAAAATAATGCAGACCAGACACATGGATGACATTTAGTTTATTGTGTCTCCTTTGTATATTGAACTTTCAATATCAAAAGAAACGTGTACAAACACTGACAAATAAATGGTGCGCGCACATGCATGCACACAAATGCAATGGCCAAACGGACCACAAAAAATAAAATAAAACAATAGTTTACAATATAATAAAAAGTTAGTATGCATTAAATATTTATTATTTAAAATTTAATATACGTGTCTTTGTCATTGTGACTGGTTGAAAGCGCGTTCGATTCAGTTGGGTTTTTTTTTTGTTTCTTTTCGATAAAAATTCATAAATACTTTATTTTAATGACATTTATTAGTCACACAACCATTGTGCACACTTTGTCTAAATTTATATATGTATATATACTATACTAGATTCAAAATACCACATACATACATGAGTCCCTCGATTTCTGTCGCCGTTCTCTCTTTTCCTTAATCTTTCACATTCATAGCACAATGTTCATGAGTTCAAAACTGCTGACGATCAGAAAAATTATTAAATTGTTATTAACATTCGTATAAAATTAACAACGAGCAACAAACACAGTGTGCACACGAACGAAATGAGAATATCAAAACTACATCACATTCATAATGCATAGAATATTCAAGTGCTCTCGACTTTTGTATCGGTCTTTATAGTAAAGTTTATGGTGTCTGGTTTAATGTTATTTTTTTTCATTTAGTTGATATATTATTACTATTTTTTTCTGTTTCTAATTCTAAATTCATTTTATAAACTTCTATACTGTACAATGTATGTCAAACCTCTCTTTCTCTCTCACATTCACAAATATTTTCAGCTTATGCATCCATAATTAATGTCTTGTCGATTAAATTTTTAATAAAGAGGCCAGCTTTTTTTTTTTTCAAAATTGTTGCCGTATTTTGCAATAAATTCACAAACTCTAATAATGTATAAACACACCGATATTACATTAGGCAATGTAAATGTTCCCCATCGTTTTTTCGTATCGGTACCATGTGCCTATAATTTATAAATTGATTAAAAAGCAGAGGAAAATGCCGTCTGACGTTCATATCGTTACTGCCCACCATATCACAATCAATACGAAAATTAAATAATGAACTTAATTTTACTTTAAATATCAATTTATTAACGGACTAATTGCAGTTTTATTAGACGCATATAAGCGATGTTGTTCTTCATGTTTTCGGTTGTTTATCAGTTCTCGTTCATTTCGTTCAAACAATTTTTGAATGTGCAAAAGTTTTTAATTGAATTTTCTCTGTTCAATTTTCCAGAGAGTTATCAGTATCAATTGCAATCGATGTGGCAAAAATGCTGGAGCACCAACCAAAATCTAATACATCATTTACGTTTTCGTGAACGTGGACCGTTGAAATCGTGGCGACCAGAAACAATGGCCGAAGCTATAATGAGCGTCCTTAAAGATGGTTTGTCATTGTCGCAAGCGGCACGAAAATATGACATTCCGTATCCAACGTTTGTGCTATATGCAAATCGTGTACACAATATGCTTGGACCATCAATCGACGGTGGTTCTGATTTACGGCCCAAAGGACGTGGACGACCGCAACGAATATTGTTAGGCGTTTGGCCCGAAGATCACATTAAAGGTGTCGTTAAAACCGTTGTATTTCGTGATGACAAAGAACTCCGTGAAGATACTACCATTCCGTTACCAGAATTCGATGCAAATACGGTAAGTGGTTTTCATTTTCATAATCCATTTCAAATACATTGTTAAACAATAGACAAAAAAAAAAATGTTTAGAAAATGCAACGAAAACACATTATTTTGTTTAATTTCTTCTTCTTTTCTTTTCTATTTTCTAATCTAGCCGATTTTCCCATTCCCAAATGCACAACTTGATTTTTCGGCAGGACCCTCCAGCAATGGTGGACTTGGTATGCAATTAAATGAACTAGATTCAGACGCATTATCGCCGATCAATATAAGTAGAAACAATTTAAATTGGACGTCATTAGTGAATCCAAGTGGTAGTCGATCTACCTCGTCCCGGTGCAGCAGTTAATCCAAATTGTTGCAACTTTCCACATTCAAAGCGTAAGCGGTATTTTATCTTCGTTTGAATTGTGCACGCGCCATTGTGCCAAACCACTAAACCCTGTCCCTCTCTCAAAATAAATAAATTACAACAGAAAGAAAAAAACATGAAATGAATGAAATTGCAAACGTGTTGTTGGACACCACATTACTTGCGAATTCATAATTCATTCTCTAAATTCTTGGCACTTTATTTTTTCAACATTTTTTCTAAATAATTTTGATTTCTAATTTCTTTCATCAAAATCCTTCGGTTTAAGCCTTTCATTTTTTGAGAGTTGATTATTTAGAAAAGTTATTATTGAAAAAAAAGGAGAAAATAAACAACAAAATAAATTTAAACTGTTTAGGAGAAATTTTAGGCAAAATAAAATATTTAAATGAAATGATAAATTTTTTTATGAAATTAAGAGTTTAAAAGATGTAACAAAATTTATGAAGAAAATAAATAAGATGAAACTAAAAACAAAAACAAATGATGAAAGAAGAAACATTTTATAAGAAAAACCATGAAAGAAAAACTGAACATTTTTAAGCACATGAACTCTCAGGTAGCTTATTGTTGTATTATGTTACTTTTTATTGATTAAATTTTACTAATTTTTTTTTTCTTGCGTTTGAATAAATTTAAGTGGTTGAGCATTTTTAAAATCATTCTTCTTTACCGTTAAGATCATTTTCACTAATCTTGTTCGGTATCTTTTTTTTCTTTTGTATGGAATGCATACATTTTGTAATCACATGTAATTAATTTTATTAGAATATTTAAACAAAAAGAGAACTCTTTTGTGTTTCATTAAGTTTTACGTTTGGAATGTGTAGATTATTTGTTTTTTTTTTTTAAATATGAAAAAAATATGGAAATCGAAAAACAAAACAAGATGAGATGCATGGAAATTCTCACAAAGGCCATAAATAGTTGTTGAGATATGGTGATACAGGATTATACAATAACAAATACAAAAACAAAGTCTCTTTTTAATTCAAAAAGTGCCACAGTTGCCGTTGTTAAGCAACTGAATTTGAACTAAAAACGCAAAGAGATGATAAATAAATAAACATGATGTGAAAGAAAATAGATTGAGAGCGAGGACATTGTTTTCCAATGAAATAAATATACTCCATTTCGATTGCAACAATATTCTACTCTATCGTAAAATGATTCATAAATATAAACTGCAGATACACCCACTCACTCTCTCACACACACACCCTGACATAACAATGGTTAGGCATTCACACATCCCTACATATATACATATATGGTTCCACAGACGATTGAAAATAAGAGAAAAATATTTATAAATAAAAAAAACACACACACTCTACACGGACCTGAAACCGTCGAGGTATTTTCAGCGGAAATGAATCCATTTTTTATATGCATCAAAACAATCCTTAAAATTTACTTTTTCTCTCTATCTCATTTTCATTTTGAAATATTTACACACATATTTAAAAATAAATCCGAAGCGAAGAACAGCCTTAAAACTCACACATCCCAAAGAGATAATGAAAAAAAATCCTATCCGATTTCAAGTTTTTTTCGAGGCATGGCATTTTTTTTTTCCTCTGAATTTTTCAAAGAACAAACAGAAAATGAACGAATGTTCCAATGGAGTATCCAAACTTAAAATTAATGAGATAATACACGGACATAAAAAAAATGTGAAAGTATAGGCCTTCAATTTAAGAGTTACGATTATAAAAAAAGAAGAAAATGAAACCCATGTATAGATTTCAAATAACATATAGCGATCGAGTTAAGCTTATACACACACACATTTAGAATTTTAGGCTTTAAGTCTAGCGGGGACAAAAAACAACACATTGATTGATCCACAAGGGTAAGAAGATTTCAATGAATTCGAAAATTATTTGTAAAGAACGAAAATTCCATGTTTACTTTCACAATATTAAATGAGAAGTTCGCAGGACCACACACATATAAATGTCAACGGTTTTTTTTTTTCTAAATCGATTTTGTCCGTAACGAGACAACAATTCGTTATAATTAACGTTTTTAGAGCAAAAAATATATTGTTTAACTATCAGGTGTGCGAGAAATCGTCAAATTTATCGGAAAAAATTGTACAACAAGAGTTCATTAATTATAGAGAAAAGAAAGAAACTCGAACCGACATCAAACCAATTGGAATGAAAATTAATGATGAAGTTAAAGAATGTACCAAGAAATATTCGAACAAAAATGCATTTGCAAATAAAACAACCGAAGTATTACACGCAAAGAACGATACAAAAAAACAATGCACACACTGTCAAAAGCGAAAAAATAATATTGGTGAACAAGGAGAAAGAATGAAAATTGAAAAAAAAAAAAAAAAACAGAAATGCATATGTGCATGGTTATAAATTAGATTATCGATAAGTATAAATTATTTTACAGTGAATAGGCATATATATATATAAAGAATCAGTTCAGTTTAAACAATATATGTAGCATTCAAAGGCAGAAATTATTGAAAACAGCCGTAAGAGAAAGAACAGTAACAAAAACCAACTGAAACAACAAAAAAAAATAAATAAACAAATATAAATAGCAATAACAAGAATGTTGCAGTTTAATTCTTTTTTATTTTGTGCAATAAAATATTATTCCCATTCAATGCTTCCGTTTTGGAAGGAGTAGTTTGTTCTCTCTCTCTCTCTCTGCTTTCGTTCTTATTGTATCCCAAGTGGCCGCATTTTTACCGACACTTAAAATCCGTTGCAACACATCATTTAAATTGTGCAACAATTTCGGCATGACGAATTGGTGAGTATAACAGCGGGGAAAAACATCATGAATCAATGTCATTTCGGTTATTAGACAGCGTTCTCATTGGGGTTATTGCTGATTTGGGTTTTCTTTTCACTAACTGTATGGTGAAACGAGAAGCCAAAGAGAATAGATTTTTATCACCGCACTCTTTTTTGCCTCTGCTGTGTGTATTTGCGCTGGCGAATAAAAAAAAAACAAAACCCTTGGAGAGAGCTTGTCGTTGTTGGTAAAATAAGCTGTTGTTGTAATTCTCCAACAAATTTTGTTTTTTTTTATTATGTTGTGTACTTTTTTTCTTCTCATGCGATCTCTCTCTTTTTCCCGTTTTGTACTACTGCTAGAAATTTGATTGCATTACCGACCAAAGCCATATTTATTATTGCATTCATTTCATATGTATTTGAACATACATTATTAAATTTTTTTATATTTATTTGCTTTTGGTAAATGCGAACATTCAAATGTGTCGGACTGAGTCTGGTTTTTTTTTCTCGCTTTCTCACTCTTACTTGATAGCGCGAGTTTCTCTGTTCGTTTTTCTATTGCAACTGTCGTATAAATACAAATTATATTTTCATCAGCAAAATCGAAAAGGGTCATGTGCCTTTTGGAACGAGAATGTAACAACAACAACAACGAAGAAAAAAAAACAACAAAGCAACCAATGTATGGATATTATTTTTTATGTTTTTTTTTTCTGTTTCATATTTTAATATCGTAGAGAATTGTTGAAACAAATGTTAACTTGTGCGTAGATTTTTGCATTCATGCGACACGACAAGGGGATGTCGATAATTCGTAAAAGTCGTACGCAAACGTACACATTTGAGGTGAACATTCATTCAGAGTTGATTGTCTCCATTTGTGTGATAATGAATGGGGTATGATAAGGTGTAAAATATGATTTACGCAATGTATATCATCTAGCTCGCAATTTTCAACAATTCCAAACTTTTTTCATTCCGCTTAAACTTTATATCGTTTAACCAAAACAAAAAGGGAACTAACACTTTTTTTCTCTCTGCTTTCGTTGCAACATGCTTAATTGAATGCATACGTGACAAAGAAAAAAGAATTTAATGAATTTTTTTTTTTTTTTTATTACGATTTTCATATTTTTGTCTGTTATTTTCTCACTTCACGTATTTTAGGTTAATTTCATTTTCGATTCATATGCAAGTACTAACCAAATTGAGTTTTTTATTAAATAGAAACCGTCAATGTCTCCTTATTACATATGATACATAATTATTTGATATCGCAAATGAGCGCACAGTGCACTTGACACATAAAGAGTTATGCATTCAGTATTAGTTGTTATTGGGGTTTGCTTTTCGGTCCAATTTCCACCTCCAATGAAAGACAGAGAAGTTGATATTATACCATCGCCAAAAGTCCGATTTGACATAAATTAAATTCTCGAGTGGAGATTGTCTTTTCCTTCAGTAAAATATTGAATGTTCCATGCACGAATGTCTCTTCAAAAAAAAAGGAGAGAAAGAGAAACTGATCTCGTGCAAATTTGTACAAATTTTGTTGGATATTTCCTTTTAGGTGCACTAACACTAATATGCGAAATTTAACGAAACCAAAATGAACTAAACTAAAATGACAGAAGCGAAATACAAAAAATTTTGTAATTTTTTCAACGATCGACGAAAGTATGGGAGAAAGAGAAAGAAGAGCGGAAAAAAAGATTCCGCGTGGAAAGGGTGTAACAGCATTGGTAATGACAATGCTCGATTCTGCCGTCAGAATGATAGACGAAGAGCAACAACATAACGTATGCAACGAGAAAATTTATTAAAAAAATACCAAAGAAAAAGAATAGGACATCAACGACGAGTTTTTTTTTGCGTTCGGGTAACATCACAGCAGCACAATCGAAACGTCTGATTTTGAGCTGGTTCTCTCCTAGCTTCGTTACTGTACATAATGTAGCAATGTGCACGTGAATGAAAATTGTATAAAATATATCAAATGGCACAATGAAATGCGCGAATGAACGAACGACCAACTAGAAAAAACAACAAAACATCGACACCAAAAAAGACGAAAAAAGACGTTGCCGAAATAGAAAAAAAACCCTCATACGCTGTTTGAAATGCGCTCTTGATGTGTGTATGCACATATCGATGGTACTACAAAAACCAAAATCGGAGAATGAGACTGAATTTGGTGGAAAAAATGGTAAATAGCACGCACTCGTCGAACACACAAACATATACGAACGATTCGCGATTTGGCACAAAACAAAAAAAAAATCATTCGAGTGCGGGATATTCTTTGACGGAAAACTGCATTGAAAAAAGTGTGCAAAAGTGTATGGCTGCTGGTCTTCGTGAAGGGTGTAAGCCGTCACCATGGCATCCTCACAATGACTCACTCAGAAAGCATTATGTTCATGTAACAAATACCTGATAACAGGTGATGAATCGCGAGTTTTGAAAGAGTTCTACCGAAAATGTGAAGCAAAACCGGTTCGGTTATAGTGACACATACGTACGATGACTACTAAAACAGCGCAACAGTAACAGCAACAATGACGACGATGACGCTGAAAAACACACGCATACGTCTAACACAAAGCTTTTTCGCTTCGAATTAAAAAAAACCATGTCTATGCGAGTTGCCAATTTTTCTTTCTTTTTCCAGAAATGGTCTCCAAAGCGATTGCATTTGCCTAACGCTCGTTCTTTTTTTTTTCTCTTCTGTAACAAAATGCGTGTGCATACATTGATGCCTTCTGTATATACAGTTTCGCCAAACGAAAAAAGAAGTACGCAACGAATTGTCGTCGTCACATGACATCGCCATCATTGCAACTCCAGATATGCTTGAAAAAATTGCACGATTCTTTTTGCTTATATTTTAATTTCATTCGATGTCGTTTTTGTTTGCATTTCTCTATTTTCCGTCGCACTTTTCCTTTTGCCCAGTCAACGATGAGCCGCTATGTTTTCGATACCTCCATCCTTTTGCTATATTGCGGCCACATATACAAACTCTCCTATCCACTGCTCATATTTTGCGATAGACTACAAATTTTCGTTTGCTTTATTTTTCTTGCTTTTTTAGATATTTCTTTTTTTTTTCTCGTGTGCAATGTGAAGGCTAAAATGAGTTCGTGGTGTTTGTTGTTCATTTCAGCAGTAAAATGATTGTAGTTTTTTGTTGTTGTTATTGCTTCTGCTGCTGCCAGTTGTTATATAATCTGTGATTTTTTGTAGTTGTTACTTTTTCTTTTTCCTTCGCTGGTGCCGTACCGAATTTAACGATAAATTTTGAATTTATTTATGAACAACATGTTTTATGCGTTTTTAGCTTAATGAAAATTCTTTGTACATAAATATATAAATTGAAAAGACTTCGATTTTAAAACAGTTATTGATTTCAGTTGTTTGAAAAACGAGAAATTCAATCTAGAAATTCGCTTGAATTCGTCTCTTAATTTTCGTTACTGGTATTTTTTAAGTTCACCAAAACCAGAGACTGTTTCTCAGAGCAATATATGTGCCGGAGTTGCGAAATATTAAAAGTAAAAAAAAGATCTAAAATCATAACATTCTCAATTCTAATTGTTCCAACAGCACCTCGAAGCGCTCTTCCTCACATTTATTGCTCTCGGAAACAGTCTCTGTTCAAAATGTTAATGGTCGATAGGCAATGGGATGATGTAGAGAGTTCAAGTCTCTTTGAGTCGACGGCGGCGCCCCCCCCATTTCGAAGGTAACGTCAATGTATTTCAACTCAAATCGAAAGTAAACAGCGCGCTAACTTTGAAATTTTTTGATACATCCTCCCATTAGTCGATAGGCCTTAAAAGATTTTTTTTATCTATTGTAATAAAAATTTAGATTGGAAGTTTAATACTTATGGTCAATAAGATTTTGAAATTTATAAGATGTTCTGATCGAAAAACGTCAAAATGAATTCGATCAGTCAATGTGCAATTTTGTATGATGACAAAAAAACGCATTGTTTCTATGATTGTTGCAAACTAGATAGATAATTCCGCCCCCAGTATATTTGTAATGAACATAATAGAGTGAGGGAGACAGGTAAAAAACATACAAGAGGAAAAAAATTAAAACTTTACTCGATATTTATTCGAAATACAAAACGACGACGACGATGTTAACGACGACGATGAGATGGCGGCGGCTATTGCATCAAACCGAAAAAAATATTGATTTATTATTTCGTATTTCTTGTTTATTTCATTAGATATGTGTCTGTGACGATGATGATACGTGCATCTATGTATGTTGTTTGCAATTCTTTCAACAAAAACCAAACGGGAAAAAAATTGTTCATCGGCAAAATTGGGAGAAGGGACATGTTATGGAAATCGTACATTATTTGTGCATGGCATTTGGCGTACAATAAAATTCTCAATGTGTGTACATCGTTCTACTCCCGGGTCCTGGTTTTATGCAATACCACGTTTTTCGGCTTTCGTCCGTTGATTACGAATAAAAAAAATATACCAGCCACGGATTAGTAGTGTATTATGTATGCATTCACTCTGTTCAAAATGCTTGCAAACGCGATGGCATGATGATGCAAATGGTGACGATGACGATGACGACAATGGCCGGTGACGGTGATGTGAATCACAGAGCCTTCTATTCAATATAAATACAAAATAATTCCATTGTGAAATGTGTCCATGACTTTCACATGAACTTTTTCGCGTGCTAGGTGTGATTTTTGAAATCACTTTTAACTGAAGTAACTCTTAGAATCTCAATTATATTCAAACAATTGAAAATCTGAAAAATCGAACAAAACTTCAAATAATTATTGGCTAAATTGGAATTGTATTTTTTTCCAAATAGTTATCTTCGGGCCTGTATAAAAAAATAACTTCAAACAGTTTTTTTTATACAGAGTGAAGAAGTCTACTGAAAAATTGTTAATGTAAAATAAAGTTTTGCATAATTCCTTTTATCTTAAAGATTCTATCAATAATTTGAATAAATTCGATTCAAACTTGAATAAAAGAAGCTTTCATTAGCCAAAGAATATAAAAAAATGGGTACTACTTTCAGTCAATTATGCATGAATTTCAAATGTGATAGAACACTTTCATTTTTCATTTCGTGAGCTTTTAAAAATATTAATTTTCTAAATCAATCGCCAAACGAGTGTGAATAGATTAAATGGTTTTTGGTTCAAAACAGTAGTACGTATCACGTTAAAAAAATATTGCAATCAGACGCTATTTTTTCGTTATATATCACTATAAATTGATTGCAATTGTTTGGTTGGCAAGAAGTTGTTGTCACGAGTACAATACTAACCAAACTGGTTTCCGCGATCACGCTTGCATTGTTCGGCGTTTTTTTTTCTTCACTCTCTCTATCTCTCATCCGAGTACACCAATTTGTAATTTGGTTCAATTATTATTGTATAGAATTTCAATATATTCATTGACATTGAATTGGTTGGCGAGTGGATGGTTTTTTTTTTTGCCTCGTGTGTGTACTTTTCGAGTGTATATTGGTTGCATTGCTATGAATAAATTGGTGCAGTAGAGTGCATACAAGTGGAAATTCAGAAGAAATATGCCGTTTACACCAAAAACAACGAGACCGAAAGGATGTGTGGAAAAAAAGTGCAACAGCCGCTGCTCCCGCTATGTAGGAAAAAAAAGGTGCATACATCAAAATAGCACAACCAAAATCACACGCTCGAATTCTGTGGCCACAGAATTGTGGCATTTAACTAGTTGTTATTCGATGTGTTTTATCGATTAACGTGGTGGCGCGGGGTTCTTTCATCTTCTATTTTAATGTAAATTGTTTAACTGTAATCACAACGAGACCGATCGAAAACCGACTACGTTCCGGGACTTTCATCGTCAATCTGATTTTGAGGAAATTTCTCATTTAAATGATTTCATATAATGGCATCAGCTTTGATGAAATTGGTAGAAAATTCATTTAAATCGGAAGAGAGAAGGACTCGGTTGGACGGGATCGTTTAACTCGTTCTGAACAAGTAACACTTCATCGTTTCCCTTTTTTCCAACCGTTGCTGTGTTGTTTTTCGTGTTTTTTTGTTGTTGGTGGTGTTCGTGCGGTATTCTCATTGAAAGCCATTACTGGCAGTGAGAGTGCATCATGTACGCGTTTATTTTTCGGTATGCCTACTTGAATTGAATGCATGTGCAACGAGTGTGTGTATGCATTGTATCTGTGTCATCAGCCAACTCTTGATGCAGTTCTCCCAATATGCATTTTTCAATGATATTGACATTTATTATTGTTTTCATTGTTGTTGCCACGATTTTGTGACACCTTTTTTTTGTTTTCAAACTTTCCGTTTTTCTCTGAATTTTTTTTCTCCATTTATTACGTCAAACATTGCGTGCTGCATGAGTATTTTGTGTATTTGAGTTTATCGATGATTGAGCTAATAAATAAACCCCATATGACGTAAAATGAACGAACCAAATCCTATTTCGATGTTCATTCGTTGAATTACTCACATTTTCATTCTGTACGGCTCTTTCGCAATTCGATTGTGTCGCTAAAACCTAAATCGGTCGAATAAAAGAGAGCCAAATTCACCCATGTTACGCACTATTTATTTGACCACTTTGACATCTCTATATGATGCGATGACTCACGCGCATTTTATCCTTTATGCTCGATTCTTTTCAACGCATTATGTGTTGGTTATTATCCCATCATTATTAACGCTTTTAATGTAGTCGAACTATTCGCAAAACATTCATGTAATTTTTGTGAGAGGAGCGAATGGTTTTCGCCATCGAATATTATTTTGAGGATACCGTGGACTGTGGATGCAATGAAGTCTGATATTCTTAGTTCATCATAAATTATTGGCCCCACGTAATCAGACTTGAATAGCATGATTTAAAATCACTTCAAACAATATACACAAATAATATGAGCACCTTTTGAAATGGCTCCACTTCATGGTGAATTGATGGATTGTGCTGAGATTCAAGTCACTACGACGCATAAATGAGAATCAATGTCTCTGTATACTCATTAGATGACCAATATATGTCATACGTATCGTGTCTCCCTCCTCCTTTCACAGGCACACACACCCACAAGCTCATTTGCAAACTAACTCAATTGCTCGCTGTCTAGATCCTAATTATTTTCAAATGAAAATCAAAAATTGTTTTCATCGAATATCGATGTGATATCAATGACAAAATAATAATCTTGTATATCTTTACCTAAACAAAAACCGCCTCCGCGCCAAACTCGAAATATTATTTCAATGAGTTTCAAATTGTGTTGCAATGCATTTGATGACATCGAATCGAAATGATTTTGCTGCTAATGCTTGCCGAGGGTATTTTTCATTGATTTTGAAAGATACGTTGTGCGAAAAATGGGCGCACAAAATGAGAGAAACTCGATATACATGAAGTGCCATCGTTTTCATTTTGGTACGTTACACATCCATATTTCGTAGTGGCACCCATGTCTAATATGTGAGAGAGCGCTGATATTTATGTTATGGTTTCCTTTTTAATATCTCGAACCAATCGATGTATATTGTTCGTTAGTTTCGCGTCACAATCCATGGTGAGCACACTTCATGAAAGTGGGTGTAAGAGAATGAGACAGTAGAGACAAAACGAAAGTCTCGATTTGGAAAATGCATTCCGATATAGTCATCAGATGAGTTCAATATTCGAAGAGCAAACGTAAATAAAATGTTCACATGAACTCAACACATTCACACACACAGAGAGAGAGACACACATTTACAATTTACATACAGTGATGCATGCGCTGTTATAACTGGAGGACAAGCTATTGCAAAACAAAAAGAATATATATATGCGGCAATGGCATCATCAACAGCAGTTTTGCCAAAGAATAGACAAACAAGGAATTGTGTTCCTATACACCATCAAATAAGCCATCTATCTAAGCCTGGATGGAGATATAGCACGTTCCGGCGTTTGTATACATTTCAATCAATAAATTGGAATAAATTCAAAACCAATATGCCCACTAGGGTGTTTCCCATACCTGCAAATAAAAAAATGGGTGTTCTCAATTAAAAGAGCGTAAAATTCTGTGCTAAGTGATAGCATTCACAGAACGTATCGATTGCTATTACGACTTCCCGAAGCAAAAGAAAAACCATATATATGGTTCAAATAGCAATCGCTCCGTGTACTGTAACTATCATCGAAACTGTTGATATCAGATAGTTACAATGGAAAAACACCACTTAATAGGTGCGTCAGGCAAAGCCTACTATACCACAGCTTCAGGCATAGCGGAAAGTAACAAAGTGTTACCGTATAAATTTTTAAATTAATTTTATTAAATGGCTAGCTGATGCTTAATACTGATTGTTTTGAGCTGCAGGCGCTGGTCTCTGTAATGTCTTGGGTATCTCCAGGTCAAACAGCCAAAAATGCCCTGAAAAATCACAAAAAGAGATAAGTAAACGACTAATGTAATTGTTTCACATCTTCCATTTCAAACTCACCCTTGATGGGGATGCATTTCGCAGCGGCAATGTCGCGATGCCAAACTGTCTTGCGTTTGATTCGCCCCTCAAAATCGATAAATTCCACCTCAATTGCAGCTACAAGCGCGTTAAGTTGTTCAGCAGCACTCAGTTGTTGTTGAGCAGCATCAGTATCAGCGTATTCCAAAACACCACTATCAGGGTTTACTAGCCAGATTTTGCGGTATACTACCACCTTTGAGAGTAAAGGTCCTGCATTTTGATGATTTGCTTCTGCTTCTGCATTTGCTATTCGATCTATTTTCCGAAATGTCTGCAATTTTCGTGTGCCCATCTGTGTTACGATCATGGATGGCAACATAGCAGCTGGATGGGGCTTACAGTCTTGACAGACTTTGAACCGATGACTTTTTGTGCGGGGATCAAATCTTTCCAAACACTTTGGACAAGTTTGAGACGTATAATATTCATCCGTCGGCACAATGACACAATCACCACGCTTTTTGAAGGCATTCTTCATTTTGGGGCATCTCACATGCTTCTTGATATGGAACGGTAGATTTGGTGATATTTCAGCCGCTCCAAAATACACCACTGCTGCTTCATAATTCACCAACATGCCGGCAATTTGATCGATTGCACTGTTTGATTCGACGTATTTGTCGAAACACAGCCGCGTATATTTGTCCGATGCATACGCCTCCATTCCTTTGTCCAACATTTTCAATCGATGATGCACATAACACAACCAATGTTTTCCCATGGGAGACGGCATCACGGGATACAGTGCCCGATTATTTCGATCATTTTGTTCCTCTTGAGTGAATGACTTCGTATAACGTTTTGCCTTCTTGTTTCGTACCTTTTGTTTGGCGATCCAATGATAATGTTTTGAGCTTATCTTGATGTTAACCTACGAAATAAAAGAAAAGAAATAATTAAAATAAAGCATTGTATTCTATTATGAATTTTAAATACACTTTATCAAATGAAATACATGAACAATCACCTCTTTGCCCGTTTCTACATCACGTTGCACTGTCGCATTCAACGTTTTTTCATTCGGATCAATGCCCAACAATTTCTTAATTTTGTCAGGTCCATTTTCAACGAATCGTTTTCGGATCGCCGCTTTGTCAATTGGTTTGAACGGCTCTCGTTCAATATCATATAGCAACGAAACTCCTTCGCCATCTGACATTATTCGATAATGGAACATTTTCTTTCGTTTGCCAAGCCGTTTGATTTTCGGCATATCAAAAATTTTGTCCCAATACCACTCTTTGTCGCGCTGAAATTCTTTCGATGTCAGCTGTATTTCATTATCGTTCTTTGGCATGAGCTTCAAACCGCATAATATTTTATACAGCGTGAAAGTATCGATGGGAAAATACTTGCGCTTGAATTGACAAATTGGAATAACCGTCAAATTTTTGATTTTCGGTACGTTGTTCTTTGCATTATCCTCAGACGAATTCGATTGTTGTTGGCCATCTTGTTTTCGTTTTTGACGACGTTGCTTTCGTTGCTCTTGTCTTTGTTCTTTGCGTTCTTCTCGTAGCTCTTGATCAATGTTGAATTCATCAATCTCGCGCTGCATAGTAAGCCAGATTTGCAACGATTTGAACCATTGTTTTTTCGTGAATAAACCCAAATTATTGTTTGGAATATCCCACCAGCAAATTCGGCGAATGTAATCCATCAGCCATTGGACTCTCTCACGTTTGGCGACATCATCCATTCCACGAATGACTACATCATTTCCATAAATAGCCAAACGGATACACGCACTAACATCCTTTTCTTGAAATTTGAAAACCGAATACGGATTCGAATTAATCTTGTACACCTTCATGTTGAGATATTCGCGTAATCGTTTCCCTGGGTGCGTGTTCAAATTTGTAATCAAATTGTTTTCGTAGATATCAATGATATCGCCCATGGCATTACCAAAATGTTTGTTATTTGGCCATTCAAAGCGATGATCATCGTCCAAATTTTGTGCAAATTGCCGAAATTCGGGTTCCATGGTGCAATTTTCGATATTTTTCCCCAAAACCGCGTCCAAGGTCCATTTTCCAAGGCGGCGATTACAATCGTGTACGATTTCAAATCGTTGGCCAAAATCGTTAACGATTGAGATCAATGGTTTTTTTGACGCCAAAATCGTGAACGATTTATTATTTGTGGTTTTTTTGACGCCCGATTTGAAAAAAAATCGTGGACGATTGCAATCGTCGCCTTGGAAAATGCACCTTAAAAGCACTTGCGAATTAACTTCTCACCATTTTGTTCAAAGAAACCGAAGTTGTTGTAGTCCATTGCACTTTGAACTTTAAACAAAAAAAATTGCGAAGCCAATACAGTTATCTTTGTCGCCTCTAAACTTTTTTCGGTGATTGCACTGTAAATTACATCGCGGTATTCTTTTCGAATAATTGATTTGAATTTGCATTTGATCGTAGCCAATCCGACATTTTTTTCCTCTTTTTCCGGTTGCTGACACCGAAATCGACTTCGGTTTTCCAGACTTATTATTTTTTAATTTCTTGTACTTTCTGTTCGCCATTTTTCCGATCAATCTATTGTGTATGCAAGTAATAAAAGTAAAAAATTTAATTAAATTCTCTGTCAAAATCACGTCAATTTCAAATGTTTATTTTATAAACTATCACAAAACTATATGCATTGCACATTGATAAAAAAAATGACAAATTTATATTATATTGATCAGCTATACTTACATCTGACCACTTCGAAAGTCGCTCCTGTTCTGATTTGATTCGTTTCGATACGGTGTAAGTATCGTTTTAAAATCTAAGCCGACCGTATTTCAACTTCTGATGAAATTCAATTTTGTATCCGTTAGCGAAACAAAAATCAATGCTGTTTTTTTAAATAAATGACTGCCTGTTTTCAAAAATATCAGGCAACCAATTGTTGAACAAAAGCAGCAAATTGATTGGGTTGCAAAAATTGAATTCTAGTCTTTGATCGCATTTTTCTCCATGCCATCTCGAATAATCAACAACGCAAACACCATATGAAACTACTTTTTCAGCACATTTGTCTGTTCGTTAAAAAGAAAATTTGATAAAACATTTATAACAAAAATATTGCACACGCCACAAACTGCAACTGAAGCACAATGAAATACAAACGAGAGTATTGTTGTACATTTGGTGAAAGCAAAACCGAAATTTCAAATTTCAAGTCACACACACTTACATTCTATACAGAAAAAATGTAACATTACCGCTGTGTTCGATATTCAAACAAACGGCAACACATTGATTGCCTTTTTGACGATGCCAAACAATACAAATAAACTAATAATCAAAACAGAAAGAGCGTGTGCTGTGTGTGCATCGTCAGATGAAATGAAAACGAACATAATGTCGTCTGTTCTAAGAACAGGCAAATGTTGAAACAATCACAATGCTGTTTATTTATTATAAACAATTTTGCTCTCATCTCATTTGCACAAGAGAAAAAAACACCACAGTTGTGAGCCTTGTTGTGAGTGTATCATAATGGAATGTTTTGTACGATTTACATGTTTGAAATTTCTCATATTCTATTTAAATGAATAGCGTTCCGATTTTATAATAACAATAATCAACGCAAAATATTGTTTACATCGGAGAGTTTTTCGTTTCGGGAAGTCGTAATAGCAATCGATACAATCTGTTAGTGTTATCACTTAGCACAGAATTTTGCGCTCTTTTTATTGAAAATACCCATTTTTTTATTTTGCATATGCGGGAAACACCCTAATGCCCACATTATATTCCAAACACAATGTTCAATGTTCGACATGGCACAACTACACCCGTACGCATTATTTTACGCCGAATTTTCCGCAATTGATCGCGATATTCTATTGTCTTTTATTAGTTGAAGTAGATTTTGTAGCAGAACAATGAATTGAAATGCGGTTGCATGCAATACGGTATCGATGCCATCGTCAACGTACATTATGAAAACTCTTGCAGCGATATGGTGTGACAAAGTCACCAGACCGATCATGGTGGTAAATCTAACCAAACATTACCGATGAATACCATGGAATTGTATCGGAAAAATTGTGTATACCGTTAAAGCGATGCTGGTAAAATACAATTAAAAATCAAACGAAGAAAAGAAGAATAATTTGATTTTTTTTTTATTAAATCGTGTGGTATATATCGAAAGAATGAACATTTCACCGTTTTGAGTGAAACATTGATAGAAATCTAGTTTTGTGAAAATCTCTTTGCTGCGAATTATGTAAAAATTGACTTTGGTGTACTCTACCAATAGTCGTAGATCCATCAATTTAATTTACTCTTGGCACATGAGTTTTTTTTTCTTCAAAAAGTAACGATTCGCTGTGAACTGTACTCTTAATAACCGAACGAATATTTTGAGAATTCGATGTAAATTACATTTGATGTAACATCAAAGGAATCAATAATGAGTATTTGTACGCTCGTATTCCAAAATTAGACATTAAAAAGATGCTGAATGTAACCAAATCATGTTGAATTTTCAAATCATTCCATACTTTGAATGTTTGCAATGGTAGCAAATGTTCCCAACAACATCATTCTTTGTACGGTTCGAATTAAATTCCGAATTGTTGATCGTATAAGAAATTCCAGTAGGTCGTCGATATGGTGCACAAATTAATAAATGCATTCAAAAGCAGACAAATGTGTTCGTTCGTCCTGTTTCGTTTGAAGAAAAAAGTGAATGCATATTGCGTGTATATTTTTTGGTTCTGAACTTCAGCGAAAATGGATTTTATCATATACGCAAATGACATTTAACGCTCGTATTTTCGACCGCATCATATGGATCAAGCTCGGTGAAGGAATTCAAATGAAAATAGTCTAGTGTATTCTATCTTATTTGCAATATATTGGGGATTTGAATCATCGTTAGGCTAAAAGTTGTCCATTTCATCTTGCCCACTTTTGCAATCGGCCATCGATTTGCATGCTCGCCGATGCAACAACAATGTCATTTTAAACAATGTGATACAAGTGCAAGCGAAACAGGGAAGATGTGAGGCTCGTATATAATGGTATCCGTTTTTTAGCCTTTGTGCGTGTCTGCAACAGTAAAATATATACATGTGTCTGTTTGTGTGTGTGCGTGCAAACGAACGAGTTATAGAGGAAAAGGTTAGATAGAATGGGTGAATATGCTTGTGCATGGCACGTTTTCAAAGCAAAAGATTATTCGCGCTCGAATCAGACCAATATTTACGTCAATTTAAAATGGAATGAGTTAATTTTACCGTTCTCTTCATGCTCTCGGAATAACGGAAATTTGCGCACCGAACAGTTACGACATATACGAAAAACCATACAAACATTTTACATTCAATATATGAAAATGCTTAACCGATTGGGATTTTGGGCCAAATGCAATAGACGATATTCGCCGTAGAATTTGAATTCCGTAAACTGAACGCGAAAATACGCTAGACAGTTTTCGTTATCGTTCATCAATGGTTTCAGTTTTTTTTTATTGCTATTGTGTTTTAAGCATTTAAGCATTCAGTTGCATACAATTTTTGACGATGAGATGGTCGATGCCGGAGCCGTATCCGAGCTAGATAAGAGAGAGGGAGACGGAGACGTTGTTCAGTACCATTCACGACATACATATGCATATATATCTCGATCTCTCTTTCGCTCGTGCACACACACTCACGCACTCACTCTTGCTCGAGTCCTGGTCAAACAATTTTCGGTAATGTTGTATGGAAAATCGACTACAAAACTACAAGTTATCTAAAATTCTAATGCATATTATTAATTCAATATTTTTGCTGGTATTCGTTGATGCTTTGTATTTGTGTGTATGTGTGTGCCTTCAAACTGTTGAGTTTTGGTTTTGCTTTTTGCAAATCTGCCCGCATTTTCTGTCTCGTTTTTCGAAAGCAAACCACCTTTCAATCCAAGGTACCTATGCGTGCCCGAAACGTTAGAGGATATTTCGATGAAAATGTGTGTGCGTGTGGTCGATTCAACTGAATCATTCAATTCGCATAATTCGCATTCCTTGCTGAAATACGCAATGCTTTTAGTACATATGCTCCAAACTCACAGAGAGAGAAAGACTCGCCGACTCACACTCACACTCTCGTTCTTTCCCATCCCTCCAAAGCAGTTCACGTTGCATAACATGCGTATATGTATTTATTCTGTCTCAGGTCGTTCGCTATCTATTTTGTAGAAAATATTTGGCTGGTTTTCGAATCAACAGTGAATAAAGTGTGTAACATCGTACCATTTCGTGTATTATTATATACACATACGAAAGCATCTTCATAAAAAATGTAAGAGTTGTGTTGTGAATATAAAAATAAATACATGTACAATTTATATATGTGTTCCGTGCGGATATGCAATATTAAATATATTTAATATTATTATTTATTTCTATTGTATACATACACGACCGAATCCAATCGCGGCTAATTTAATACAACACGCACTCATTCATTCCCTATCATTTGCACAACATACACCACCATCTCCATCAGCCCATTAACAAGTATAAACTCTTTTTTGCCAAGCGATTCCATCGTATATGGTGGATTTCAAATTAGTTAGATTCGTGTATTCGGTGGAAGAATGGAATGAGATATGGCAAACGGATCTGCCAAAATCCAAGCATTTCGCAAACCGATTTTCCAATGATATTGTTATGGTTTGTCTTGTTGATGCCATTGCATTGATCCATCGAAATACAGAGAGAGAGTCGCAAATGAGCGAGAACGATTCACGCTTAACCGATGCTGTTGCTGCTATTTATTGTGGCACGTTGGGGGCACATCGATGATATGAGGCCACGCAATGCGTGCATAAGCTTAGAAACGTAAAAATATTAATATATTTGGGAGAGTGAGTTTATTTAAAATTTTATCGCATTTGATGCTGTACTGTTTTGAATCAACTTTATATATCGGCTTGTTTAACATTTATTTACATATTTCGATTCTCTTTTTGCCAAATACAAATACAAATATCTGAC